TTTAAAATAATAATTTATATATATATTTCAATCATGACAAATTTCTTTTATTATTTCAGCAAATTATTACGATTTGTAAAAATAAAATAATATGATTGATGTTTGTAAAATTGTGAAAAAGAGACGAAAAAGAAAAAAGAAAAATATAAGGAATTTAACGATGTTAGAAAATAAAAAGGATACACAGTTATCCTAGTTATATTATTCATAAGACAATATCTTGTTCTTATACGAAGGACGATCCTGGTTCGACTTGAACAGAGGAAATCGTTCCGCACGAACACGACGAGTAATAGTAATAGTAATAGTAGTAGTATTAGTGTCGTATTCGTTGTTTGGTTATATTCGAGACGTTTTACTATCCGTATTACGACAGGAAATAATTCCAGATTGAAATTGACAAAGCAATTTCGACTATACGCCCGGATGGATGGTCGTTTCACGTAGGATCGTTGTTCTTGGTGTTACACCGAAAGATGACTGATGTGAGTGGATTTATTATCGGTCATTATATACCATGATACAATTTCACCGCATTATATTTTATTGTATATACCAACTACAATCAAACTTACGATATAACTGATGCTGCTGCTACTACCAACGGAAATATATCTATCCCCCACCCATTTATGTTTCTCGTTGAATTGTTTTACAGTATAACACAGCGGTGGTAACATATTAGAAAGATAAAATTCAATTTATCGTATACGTTCGATGATCACGTTAATTTCCCCTCTCCTTCGCTCTCCCCCTCCCCCTCTCCACAATTATAACCCACTCTCTTATACTCGTATTTTACATATTTTATATTAAAATATTATTTCATAACACAGATTCATTTAATAATATAATAAATTTATATATATATATAATCAATTTAATATATAACAGTGTGCAAAAAACATATTTATTTGATTTTTAGGAAAAATAATGATATATCATTCATCGATGATATTCACGATATGACATTAAACGCGTTAAATATAAAAAGTGTAATACATATAATACTTTTTTTTTCGATGAAAGCGTATCGGACGTATTTCAAGATAATAATCGATAAGATCTATTCTTTAGAAACTATTATTATCCAAGCACGCTATTAGAATCTTTCCTTTGAAATCGTACTTTTCTCCTTCTCTACGTATACTCAAGTTTTTAAGTCTTCGATTTAGCAGCCCACGCGTTCTGTCCCACATACGATACGATACGATACGATACCATACGATACGATTCGGTGTTTTATACTCTGAGAACATTTTAATAGATTCTTTCTTTGAAAAGCTTTTCGATGGGATGAGAAATGCATTGTTACCAAGTGGCACAGGTGTATATAAGTGTGTGTGTGTGTGTGTATATATATATATAGGTACAAGTACAGAAGAACTTGTTCATAGAAACCCCCAAGAGGGATGCAAGGTGAAGATGAAGGACTTGTAGGCTTGAGTACGATTTTAAATGATGAGAGAAAGAGGAGGGGGGAAAGGGAAAGAGAGAGGGAAAGAGAGAAGGAGAATGAGCGAAGGTGGACCTTTCGAAAGAGGTTGCGATATCTCGGCCGGTTTTTAAGTGTCATCGAGTTTGCTCGTCTCTAGCTAAAAGATGATAGGACACGGTACCACGAACAATTTATTTTTTCATTTTTTTAATAATCCCTTTCGTCGTTCCATCGATTATTATTATTATTATTATTATTATTATTATTATCATTAAAACGAGAATGAATAAATTACAATTTTGAAAATTGAACGTATAAACCTTTAAATACCCCATTTGAAATAACGTACGTGTTGTGTCAACACCCATCGTTGACAAATGATCGTTTTGGTAAATTTTTGTCGAAAAAAATTTACAACAAATCGTTGACTTACCGCTAACAGCAAAACCCGTACTAGTCTTCTATTACATACCTGTAACAAAGAAAAGCGATAGATATTTTTAATAAAACGTTGAATGGTTCGATAACATTGGAATGAGAATGAAGATGAAATTTTTTTTTTATAGTATACGTAATATGTAATTGTAAAGCCGCACGTTTGTATTATCAAATAGTATACGAATTTATCCGCTGTGTTATCGACGTATTTTTTCACACGACAATAGATCGTTGATTGACAATGGGGTATAGCAATCAAACTTTAGTCATACTAAAAAGAAAAATAGTCCACGAATTATTATTATTATTTTTCTTTTTTTTTTCTTTACCCTGCGCGGAAATTTTGATAATAGAACACATTTTTTTTTGTTTAAATTACGTGACAACGAATTAAATGAATAAAGAGATATTACATATGAATAATAATACAAATTTGTAGAATTGTACCCAGTTAAGCCGAAGAATATACATATATATATATATATATTAGGTAGATAGAAAAGTCATACGAATCGATTTAGGTTGTGTCACGTTGAAACATTTTATCGATTTTCTTCCATGAGAAAGAGAGAGAGAGAGAGAGAGAGAGAAAGGGAGATTAAGAGAGACAGGTTTCAGGCCACAAAACTCGTCTCGGATTACTTCGTTCGAAAGCGCGAACATGCCGCTAGGATCGTTTCAACGAGCGCGAACACATAGTTGACCCCTATCGTTGTTTAATGCTCGTTGGATTCTGTTGCAATAATAATGTGTCTACGAGTTCGCTAACCCAAAGAACACGGCTCGTCATTCTAGTTTTCCAGCAGGTAGATTCTAAGTATACGGGAATGTAGAGAAGCGAGTAAGTGAGAGATAGATAGAGATAGAAATAGAAAGAAGATAGTGAAAGACAAGTTAAAGAAGAACTAACATGACAGAAAATTGTGTCGTCGTATTATCTCGTTCGATTAAAAGTCGAGAATTAATTTTTCCTTCTTATCTTCATCATGAACGTCGTCATCAAGGAATATCAGAAAATCCAGGAAGCATAGACCTCAAACATCGTTTCTATCTCGATCACGAGAGGAAGGATCGTTAGATAGACGACTATCTGAGCACATAGCTGGTCAGAAATTTCATTGTATACCTACCCAAAGCTATTTTCATTAATGAAAGTGACGCCGTAGGAGAGAGAGAGAGAGAGAGAGGTATATGAAACGTTGGTGTGGTATAACATCGTTAATGACGTTCTCTATCATACCACCCGCTGATTTTAGCCCAAATAACGAAGCTTTTGAATCTTCCTAATGTGTAAGATGGAAAGAGAAGATTGATGCTGCGTGCTCTAGTCTGAGAGTGAGTGGGAGAGAGAGAGAAATGTGTTAGAGGATTTCGCAAGCAAGCTTAGCAAGCGAATCCTAAAATATGCAACGGACTATCATAGTCGTATACTACCCCAAACTCAAATCCCGTGACTCCTCTATCTTCTGTATCTCTGTGAGTATTTGTCTCTGTTTCTCCTTATTCTTCCCCATCCCGTTCACTTCAGTAATGCAACTGCATTTTCTTCCTCTAACGTTTATCAATGCAAGCCACGATGTGTGCACGGACACCCGTATGTTTATCTACGTGTTCAGATATTTACTAAATATTTGATTAACGAATTGATCATCATCATCATCATTATCATCATCAACATCTCATCTTATTATTATTATTAAACTGAAAATAGGTACAATGTATATTGTCCTAGTTAATATTCTTTTATGGAACTCTAATTTTCTATGCTGTCAGGGTTTTGAAAAAAAAAAGAAAAAAGAAAAAAGAAAAAAAGCAAAAATTTTGCCTCGAATATCGGAACAAAGGAAGGAGGTCTATGATAGAAACGTAAAAAGGGAAAAAAGAAAAAAAAAGTACCGTGCGTGTTACGATGCATAAAATGCATACACATAGACCTATATACACACATATATATATATGTACGTACGCATATAATGTACCTTTCGATTTTATGATTAACATTTATCGTGATATTTCGATAGTTATTAAAATTAAACAGATAATTATTGTATCGTTTATTATTCTAATACACATTTGTCTTGTATAAAATTGAAAAGAATTTTTGCTTTTACTGAAAAAAAAAAAAAAAAAAAAAAAAAAAAAAAAAAT